AAGTCCGCAGTTACGACCTCAACGCGCCTCCGGAGAATGAATTGCTCCATCGGCGATCGCTTATCCGCCGGTTCGCCGGCGCTACAAACAAATCGAACCGTCTGTGTCTGATCACCTTGCACACCTTCTCAGCCTGTTCGACGATGAAAACGGGCGACGCGTGTAATTATTCAGAATGGAACACGCCTAAGTAAATGGTAACTTTTCCATCGAATGGATGCCATTCGATCGAAGGAATGTGAAAATGCTTTTACCACGAGCGAAGTTTGGCCCTTTGCAGTTTTTAGGTTAGGTTCGTGTATTCTGTTTGGTTGTGATCATAGGCGTATCCAGGTTATCTGTCAGGGGGAGGAAATGTAATTTTTTTCCTCTGAGAAGGGGAGGACGAAGTCTAGTTTTTGTCTTCTAAAGTAGTGCAAAAAACACCCCAAAATGTAACCCACTGGCTACGCCCATGGTTATGATACAGTGATTCCTCGATGAATGCAACACGAGCAACGGCGTTATCCCCACCACTGGGGCGGTCCCCCTCTGAAATCAATAAAAATAGATTAATCAGAAGCTAAGCAGATTTGGTAAAAAACAAATTTATGAGGGGCTGGAGAGACGGGCGTAGCCTGTGGGGAAGGGGGGGATATTAACACATCGACTGCCATAGTGAAAATTTATGTGTTTTGTTAATAGAGGCTGTTGGTCGTGCTTCAAATTACATATATTGCAATATTAAATATTACGCAAAAATTTTGTAACTCTGGGAAGGGAGGGGGTGCAAAATCCAATTTTTTTTTTTGTAGGGTGGGACGAAAGCCTCTTTTTTCCGTCCAGGAAAAATGAATGCTCCAAAGCGGACCCAAGTACGTCGCACTCATCGAGACATTACTGTAATATCAATCAAACATTCCCCTGTTCTTGGTATTAATTCATAAATTACTCTTCGAGATACCGTCACTGTTCGAAATGACCCAAAATCGCCATGTTTCGTTCAACATCGTTTAAAATCATTCGTCCACGATCATTCCGTAAATGGAAACGTTTCTACGATCCCCTCGAACTTCGAGCTGCAATGCGGTTCGTAAGTACCAATTCAGCTCCGAGCAAAAGAGGATGGAAAGGCAACAAAGAGACGGAGCGCGCGCGTGGAAACGCGGCTGTGAATTCCCACCATCGATGATACAGCCATTTTTATCGAGTCACGTATCTCGGCGTGTTGCGCAATACCATTAACGGATCGCGATATAGTTCCACGACCCAAATCCGCCGTCACCGTAAAATCATACACACTTGAAATGGAACTGTGCCGCCGTCGACTCCACTTCTCTCTTCGATCGTCTATTTCAGTTTTCCGCGTGGAAGCTTGGCTTTCAAACTTTTTTTTCTCAGCTTTCGCGTCTCGAAAAATCACCCTGCTCGCCTTATAACCACGCCCCATAAATTGAATCGGTGGGCAGAATTTTTATGAAATTATCGAACGACAGGGACAAACGTGGAGGCCATTTTTTTTAAGGATCTTGAGGAGATTCTACATGAAATTGTAAAACGTGAATCGGTTTACATTGCCAGGACAAATTTGGATGCACTTGACGTTCTTTATACGTAACACTATAATACGACCCTTGTTCACCAGTCTTTCGATGTATTTTGGAACAAACTTCTTGAAAATAAACTGGTCTTTTTATAAAATGCTGATATATAATCAACTGTATACTTTAGTTAGTTTCTGTTAACTGGAACAGTACGTGAACTTTCTGAAATTCTGGGTCAAAACAGGCCCAGGTACCGCGGTCCAAGGGTTAAGACAGAGTCTGCTAGTCTTACTAACAAGTCTACCAGCTGGTCCAAGATGAAACGCCTTTCCTTTTCACTTCTTCCTCTCTGTTACCTTTCCCCTCGTTTCATTTTGACTACCAAAGATTGATGAAGTTTAATCTATACGATTACCAGCCAGAAAAACTCTGAACAAAAACATAACACGATAATTAGCATACCTACAAAAAAAGTGGTCAAATCCATCCCAGCTCTTAGGGCCCTAAGCTGCTTAAGTACCAAGAGCGTTCAAGTGATCGAGGTCCAAATACATACGTGAACACGAGAAAGTGTCTAATTTGTATTTCAACATTGTTCCTTTGGAGAATCACGTTTGTATTAAGCTGTAGAACAACGTATAGAGAAGGTACAATTGCAATCGGATGCTCGTAGCCTACTGTACGCACGATTCCACTATACGAGACGACACTTGATAGAACGTGTAACAATGCCTCCTCTGTTATGCGGATTCCCACGGTGGCTAATCCCCTGGCAGAACGAAAGCATTCCCCTGGACAGCCAACAGGCGCCATTTTCTGCGTTTCGAATTTGAATGTTAAGCGTTCTTTACGTTTGTTGGCATTCTGTCGAGGGTAATGTAATTAAGAATACTCAAGATTCGAACTTGAATCCATCGACAGAGGATCTTTCCATATGTTTACTATAACGATTGAAGAGCTTTATGCAATTCAAACAGTTTCAATTAAAGCTCTCTTGAAAACAATGTTAACAAATGCTGAAACAAATGTTAACCAAATTAACATTCGATTTAACATTTGTTTCAGTACTTGAAATAAATTTACATAGTGGTAGGAGGCCCTTTCCATATAATACCGGTATTTTACGTTTCGATAGAAGTCCCTGATCGACCGAATAAAAACGGCCCAAATGCTTTGATCAGTTTCTGTCAAGCGCATCAAAGAATCTTCATTCATTGAGCTGCCTTCGGCGAGTAGCCACATGGTAAATTCTTATGTACTCGAGGTTTCAAACCACTTCAAGCCGCAGGAATGAAGAGGATCCGTAGGGATAGGCTCGTTGTTTCTTTTGCATAGTTCTGCTCGAGGAATGTGAAATTGTGTGTTTGCTCCAAGAGAGAAACCTATACGATTCAAAAAGTCGCCGCGAGGCTGGCAGTTTCGCCAGGTGTTAAATAAAAGGCCCGACGATGCGGGCTTAGCGGGACATTTCGCTCATAAAGACCGTAAATCGTTTCGAGGAGCCCGTCGAGAGCCGTTCCGTTTCGGTGACGTTTGGCCGTGTTTGTTCGCGGTATCGCGTGTACTTCTGTCGCGGTACGATCGCCGCGATAAAACGGGCGAATTTCTCCGTGCACGATAATTAACGATTACAGAACGCTTTATTTTTAGGCGGGTACGGAAATAAAGAAATCGAAGGATGTTTTCGGGAGATATCGAATTTTCGTAGACCGTAGACTGGACTGAAAGGAACTGGTACATGTACAGTGGGGGACAAAAGTATTCGTGCATCCTTTGAAACGGAGCAATTTTTTTCAAATTGGTCCGATTTTCAATCGTTTGTATCTCATAACAACGTTAACTGATTTTGTATATGTATTTATTAAATTTTCATTACAGTCTCAAGTAAAAAAGTTGTAAAAAGCAATCTTTACTATTTTCTTTGCGATTCGGACCAATTGCAATTTTTTTTTACACATCATTTAGTAAAATAATGTTCCTAACTTGACAAAAGAACTTAAGTCACTCGGACCAATTTGAAAAAAGTCGTTCCGTTTTGAAGAGTGTACGAATATTTTTGTCCCCCACTGTATGTATGTTGGATTGTCTTTATCGTTGGGTTTCGTTAAGTTGAGAGTAAATTGACGACCTTGTTAATTGTATTTGTCGATTTAAGTGTGCTGTAAATTTATCAAACTTGTTATCGAAATGTTAGATACTATCACACGCAATTGTTGATATTCGAATAGTTGACTCAATTGCGATTAGTGAACTTGATATAGTCTGCGTTTTTGCAATGATTCTTGATAAAATTACATATAAGTAAACTAGACAGAAAATAATTTCAATTGTCGAAATACAGGGTGTCCCACCTAACGTGAACACCTTCAACATCTCACTTGTTTTTGAAGATACAAAAAAATGTGAGGGCATAGTACTATTTGGTTAGAACGAGCAAATACTACAATAAGCAAACATTTTTCTCAATATCATATTTTTCGAAATTTCAATGTCATTGATTCTTCTTTAAATGGAACTACATATTTTATAATCATGTGATAGTTGAGTCAAGATCAATCCAATGACCTAAATAGTATGACCTCCATGTGAATTCCAATACAAAAACTGCACAAATATAAGAGAGTAGATTTAAATAATAAAATAACTACGATAGAGGGATTACTCCAAAAATGTATCCAACTTGAAGGATCTCATTTTGAGCACTAGCTAAATTTTCTACAAATTAAAAGCAAGTGAAATATTCAAACTGTTCACGTTAGGTGGGACACCCTGTATATTTAATTCCGAGAGCAATCTTATCGCTATACAGTGACGAAAGAAAAATATCCTGCACCAGTTCTGGTCAGGATTCTATGAATCGATCGATCTATAGATCGCGAAGCTCGTTCGTCAATGAAAAACCGTCATCGTTCGATTCGTCCTCCGAGGAACGTCAGCTCGGGTCGACGAGGTTCGATAAGTGGATGGCGCGCGAAAGGAATTCCCGACATGTCTGGCGAGCGAATTAGGCTCATTGGAATTTCACTTTGGTTACAAGCTGGCTTTCGTGCCGCCAAGTATGGTCCCCATGACCCGGTAGCCGGATACGCGACACGGGACGTGCAAGTATCGGGCCGCAGTCAGTCATTAAGCGATTGAACCGCGTACGAATGTCGTCGTCGCCTGGATGTACCGACGAGAGGAATAAGCGGACGAAAAAAAGTGGACCATGCTTTTAATGTCGATCGAATTTTTACGGAGAGAGAAAATACATAGCCGTGCATGAACTTTCAAACGAAAGCTGATCGTGATCTCGAGATTGTAAAAGAATTCGTAATATGGACGAGGACTCTGTTCAGAAATGTTTGTTGCTAAAAGGAAAAACACGATGACAGTGGATAATTATAGTACCGTTCGTTTGATAAAAAGTAAATAATAATTATATTGTTATAGGTTTCGTTAAAAAGTTCATTTTAATTGAATGTTTCAGATAAGAGGTACACTTAAATTTGGCCAGGATGCCGTACTATAACAGTGGGCACAGTCCTTCCGCCTATAATAAAGGTAAGCAACGATGATGCACGAGTTTTGTGTATCGTACGAATAAACAGTAGTATAACTACTACCAACGCGGATACGCGTCATAGTCGCGTCAGACGGCGCGAGAAATGTTACGATATAACGGGAGGCCGTTAAAACGATAATCGGTGTATTAAATGATGAATAACTATCCATTAGACGGAGGATCGAGCGGGCCATCGAGCACATCGGGCGGCCGAGTCAGCGGCTCCGAGCCGACGTACATGATGGAGCATTTGGCCACGTTCACGGTCACGAAGGAAACCGGTATTGTTTATCCAGCGGACGGTATGCGGCGACTTCTGCAGCTGGAGAAGAGTAACGGCATCTGGAGTCAAAAGATGCAGCTCCGTCTGGAACGGAACTGGGTCCTGATCATGGACAACGAGACGGGGGTAAAGATCCATCCTTGACACAGAAAAAAGAACGTACGAAAGAATGAAAAAAAAAAAAAAGAAAAGAAAAAGAAATAAAGAACCGTTTACGATCACTTTAACGAAATTAGCGAAAATACCGGCTATGCGTACACGTACATAAGCACACCCAGAGGCACATACACTGCCTTCCTTAGTTAAAATATCTTATCTAACAAATTATACTTATTCATGATTTTTCGAAATATTTAGAGTTACATGCAATTTTTACTGTTTTATTTAAGTTAGAATGACTTGACTGATTTTCAGATGATTTTACTAGTTTATGTTGTCTTATGTAACATTTACTAAATTAGACATTTCTGATAGTAAATCATTTACGTTTATGCCGTGTGTGAACAAAAAAATACAAGAAACATAATTTAAACCGTTTCCTATATGGAGATACCTTACGATGAAAATTCAGTACGGCACAAAGAAAATTATAAGACCACATTTTTTTTCGGACGTTTGAAACTGTTAGAACAATAATTGAGCTAAAGAGGGCAATACAGACACGAGCACATCGGGTAGAATTTATTAATTGCATCGAAGCACTCGGTCGTGAATGTAACAAAGTGGAACATCTGTGAGAAATTACATTAGCCGGCGGTTTTGAGGTTTGAGTTTCACTTAATGCATCGTTGATAAATTCGTATGCAGGCCGTCATGGAGCGATTCCCAGCCTCGTTGATACAGGAACCGACCGCATTCACGTCGGGGGACCCTATGGAGATGTATAACAACATTCTCGTCTTCACAGTGGCGGATGACAGCGGTTCAGGGCAGCGCGCCGAGATGCATATATTCCAGTGTCAGAGCGTATCCGCCCAGGATCTCGTGAAGGACTTGAAGATGCTACAGATGGGCAAATTGGTCCCTGGCGGATCACCCAGGGGGCCCAGGGGTCGTATACCGCCGCCCCCCACTCTCCCGCCACCGGAACCACCCCTGAACGGGGTGAACGTCCGTGAACAGGTGTCCGCCTTTAACGCGAACAATGGTACGCCGCCATTCTTCATTTTTCTTTTGTTTTCTTTCCTCTCTTCTCCATCGATTCTCCGCCCAGTTGTTTTTCTTTTATTTCCATTATTGAATATTGCATGAGCCAGTCACGTTCTGCCGGAATAATTCAATGTGTAAGTATCTGTACATGTATATAACGTCTGTGTTCTCTTGTTGCTCACAGCGGATGGCCAGAACGACATATCCCGGGAGGAGAACAACGACGAGGTGTCCTCGACGTCCTCGGAGAAATACGAACGGGACGTGACGATTCTGAACCATTGTTTCGATGACATCGAGAAATTTATCGCCCGGCTGCAGCACGCCGCGGCCGCGTCCAAGGAGCTCGAACGTCGCAGACGGAACCGCAAGTCGAAGAAACGGAATCTCGGTGACGGTATGCTAACGATGAGAGCGAAACCGCCGCCGGAGATGGAGTTCATCGATATCTTCCAAAAGTTCAAGCTCTCGTTCAATCTGCTCGCGAAACTGAAAGCGCACATCCACGATCCGAACGCGCCCGAGCTGGTCCACTTTCTGTTCACCCCGTTGGCATTGATCGTCGACGCGTCACGTGACACCAATTACGATCCGAATCTGCCTAGCAAAGTGGTGTCGCCGTTGTTGACCCGAGAGGCGGTGAATCTGTTGATGAACTGCGTCACCAGTAAAGAGACCGAGCTCTGGCACTCGTTGGGCGATACATGGTTGATACCACGGGACCAATGGAAAGATCACGTACCGCCTTATCATCCGATCTTCATGGACGGTTGGTCACCCGAGTACCCTATACCAGAGGATCGGGATCACGATCATCTGGCGTCACTGCTGAACGCGGACAAACAGAAGAGGGACGAGCTACCGGAGCAACAAAACGATCCTTACTATAATCACCGTGAGGTAGACGAGTCTCACTACAGCAGCGACTATTTGGAGTACGAAAGCAGAGAGGAACGTGGCGGTAACGAGTACTTCGAGAGGAATTACGGTCCCGCCTCGGAACTGTACGCGAGGGAGGAAAGGGTGGTAGATCAAACACGAGCACACAGCGATATATCCGTGGACTCGATCGAGAGAACACCCAGAGGCGCGGCGATCGATCGTGCCCAGGAGGCATGGCTCGACGATCTGATGGCCAGACACGCGAAGATCGTGCAAGTCACCTATCCACGTACGGCGAACAACGACAAAGAGCTGACCGTGGTCAGAGGCGAGTATCTCGAGATACTCGACGACAGTCGGAAATGGTGGAAGGCGAGGAACGCGAGGGGCCAGGTCGCCCACGTGCCCCACACAATTGTCACGCCCCATAATCCCGGCCACGCGGCCGACAACGATGTTTTTAACAATCCACTGTACACCAGCCGATACCCCCGACAGGGGCACGGCTATAATTATGAGGTGAGAGAGAGTCAACGGAGAAATTGTAGTTACGTTCGGATGGCAAAGGTCCGCTTGAACTGTTCGTAATTGCTGTTGTGAAATCTGTGTCACCGGTTACGATTATTACGGAATGGTGCTTGTGGAACATTGTCTCCTGGGGCTTTTATGGGTGACGGTTATGGGGTTTTGTAACATTTTTTGTTTGTTTTATGCGTGTTTTTGTTAGAGTTTATACAGAGAGTCCTCGAAGGCTCCTCGGCACTGAACATTAAATGTTTCATAAACTAATGGCCTGGCTTCAGAATTCCAAGCTCTATCATTGTGCTAAACCTCATTAAAAAGTCAGCGTTACACCTGGAGAGATCTCCGAGTAAGTGCTGAGAAGCCTTCCAACACTCATCGAGGATTTACTGTAGTTTAATTTAGTTAATAGTCCTGGAATTAAATAATCTGCGCCGTGTCATTACGTGTTGTTAATACCGATTTGATTTTGTAGGACTCGGAAATCGAAAGGACCAGCACGAGTCCAGGACCGGAAGCGACCCATCGGACACACGCTATCCCACCGCCGGCGCCCGCTGATTGGGTGAGGAAAGAGAGACTCGGGAAAAAAGGTGAATTCCGATACTTTTAAGCTGTCTAGTGATTCAGGCTAGTGTGTGGCTTTCTCCTTTGCCTGATTAATAGAGGAATCGTTGTGTTGAATATAAGGGGAACCACTTTCAATCGGTGGATAGTCTATGATATTAGAAGATCGAACAAAACCGTCGAGTAAAACCGAGACACGAGATCTGATTGAGTCTTGTAGGTAATTGCGTTTAATAGCTGAAAGTCGAGTGTGTAGCCATGCTTCTTTGGAAAATAATTCCCGCCCAGCTTCAACAGGACCATAAGAAAACGCGTTAAGATTTATTCCGGGAGATTAGTTTCCACAAAAAAATAAAAAGAAACATGGCTGTAGCATTAACCGCAAAGTACGTCACCGTTGTTGCGTTAATGGTAAACCGTCCAATGCATTACCGTCGTGACGTAATTGATATTATTTATAATCAGTGTTTATGTTGTGTCTTCATCTTTTCGTGCGCAAATGATTCTTGCCGCGCGGGACACATAAACGGTTAGCCACGAGCGGCAAGTATCATTCGAAGCAGTCGTGTACACGTCGTATCGTTTTGTCCAATCGAATCATTCCACGATGTCCGACTCTTATTTCTTTCTTTTTTTTTTTTTATGTCAATACCGTATTTTCTACTGGTGTGTATATATATAAATATAAATATATAAGGAGGTATATGCGAGCAATCGATCGAATCGTCAGCATCGTAGTCACGATAGGGACCAATGGTAACCGGAAGAATCATATATACTGGAATGTTCCGGCGCCATTCTTCCAAGTTCTTCGATCTTGTCCAATGTTTCGAGTGATATTTTACGAATGTTTCTGTGCTCCAGTATCCAATTGATGGATGCAAAAAAGAACTTCGAAAATTACACTTCGATATAATTTATTTCCAACGAATCGATTACTTGTCTCTTTTATATCCATATAAATCGGAAGTTATGCTAACGGACAAGAGAATGATGACTTCGTCACGCGCGGCTTAACAATGAAAATAATGCACAGAAACGCGCGCTGTGGGTGAAATCTCGAAAATCGAAACGTTTAAATTATTGTTTGACGTATCGACAGCCTATCGATGTTTTTCTCTCACGTTTGTTTGAGGATTATATAAACTGACATTTGCACCCGGTACCGCATGACATTATCAGCGTTCGGGGTCATTTTAACACCGTACCTTTTGTTAGCGACCGTAGGGCGGACGATACCATATTTTTTTATATTTATCGACTAACCAAATCTTAGCATATACATATATAAATATAATTGACACTTAACGGATGAGAACGATATGTATAGTTTTCCTACGAAAGTGTAAAAGGTCAGGCAAACGGACACGGATGAAACCCGTGGAAACTCGTGGAACGCAACTGCTCTGCGTTTCCGCTGGGTTCGCGATGAAAAGTCCATCCATTAAGGACGTTTCGCTTGTTTAACGGCGCTTCCAAGCTGCATACCTAAATTCTCCTCTTCATTGCCTTTTTTTATAATTCTTAAAATGTCTTCCTACAATTCATCACCGTACAATTTTTAATCGGTGTGGTCATTGATTCAAAGGACTTAATCTATTCCTAGAATAAAAAATGCAGATAAACAATGTTTCTGAAGGCGAATGATACTTGTTTTTCATAGTTTTTGATTAATTTTTTCTGCAGGATCCAAAAGAAAGTACTTTCTTTTGTTCTTCTCCTTGTCAACTGATTCAGTGGTTCTTGAAACACCGTGTCCGCCATCTTGAAAAACAAGGTTTCGGAAAAGATATCGTTAGAAATCGTACAATTTTAAAATACAGTGTTCTATATTATCGAGAAAGATAGAAATTAGGTTTTTTTGGTCAGCAAAAGGTAGGAAGACACTTTAAATGTCTTTTAATAGCCTCCTGGGGGGGGCCATGAAAGTCTTCCACGAGGATACTTTATAGTGTGCACGATCATGCGATCCACTTCTCGAGCGAGTGAAAAACCCTTAACCCTTTATCTGTTCTGTGTCCACGGGATGGGGGTACAATCCGTCCAGTATTTCGTTGCACTGTAATTTATGTACATCAATTATTAATAAATATACTCGGTTACTGATTGTACTTGTCTCCGGCTATGTTTTCGTCCTTCCTACATAGTACAGAAAATCTCCAGAACCTTTTGCACAGTTTTGGTAGTTTATATTAATAAAAAATAAGGAACAGTTTACTGGATGCGTATACAATAATCGTTTTAAATTCCTTATACAGGATTCTATGCATTTTCGAGAAAGTCTATGGTGAAGAATCGTGGAATTCAATTTGTTGGGCATGTCTGTTCATTGCAGAGCATTTCTACTTGTGCGAAGATTCTTGAGATTTCTAAAATTTTATCCCTTAATTGAGCTTCACGGTAGGCCAATTGATCAACTATATGTAAAAGAAAAAGTAGAAAAGAATTATGGTATTCTAGGAAATGCTGTTTTAAATTTGATGAATTAATAAACCTGAGAAAACATGAAATTACCGAAGATTTTTTTGAACACATTAAACAATATTTATATTAATACGTGGTGTAAAATAATTTCCATCGGATACAGCAAGCGTCGTAATATACGTATCAAAAATATTTAGATGAGTCTAACTTCCGAGAAGCTCAATTATTAGAAGACATTTAATCTTCACAGAAAGTGAAAACGCTTCTGTTGTACGTGAGTATCCTGCCGTATATTATCGTAGATCTTTTACGTCGATGATTATACTGTCGTGCCGTTGCGTTTGCTTAAAGTGTGCTTCTCCATGTGATCGTCCATTGGAAATGAGTCTTCTGTGTACGTTCCCCAGACTTCAGGGTAAGTTTGAACGCCTTAAATAATACCAAGTTTGCTATACAATTCGAATACAGTAATACCCCGATTTACGCGAATACGCATTTACGCCATACATTGTTTCCCCTCCTCTCCCATCTCTTATCTGCCATTTGTATGTCACATAAGTATTTCTATAGCTTAATGTAATGAATAAAACAGTATAAATTAGCAATAAATTAGCATTTTATTTTTAGATCTGCTAACAAAGAACCGATTAGCTCAGATTAATATAAAGTTGTATAGAAATTTGTACCCTGACTTACACCACCAATGTCAAAACCACCCATGACGTAACTTCGGGGTATTACTGTACTTGAGAAAAGGCAATTGTTATTTAACACGAATCATTACAGACGAGTCTACCGAAACTAACAAGGTAACAATCACAACAAATGGCACCGATACCAGTGACTTGTCTCACACGAACGAACGTCCGAAACCAAAGTCGAACAAGATGACGGAAATCGTTGAGATCCACCCTCCACCCCCTGGCGTAATCGAAGAAATCGTTGTTCCTGACAGATCATCGCCACCCCTGCCACCTCCGCCTCCACCATTGCAGTCTCAGACATCAGTTTCTTCAACCAGTTCCAGCAGAACAGGAACTTACAAAAGCAGAAAGTCCACTAGTGGTGTGATTTATATTTACATTATTCAGAGAAATTGATTACTGTTACTACATTTGTTGTTTTCTTTAAGGGTTGATGAACCAAGAAGAGATGCAAAAGGAGCTAAAGTACGTTCTAATGAAATTCCGCGAGAAGAAGCAGAACGAGAATGATATTGTCACTCGTGACGCTATCTTGGACCAGTGTTCCAGCCCCAGCGAAGTCCAGACCTGGCTGACTGCCAAAGGATTTTCAGAAAAGTATGATATAATTGTGGAATCTTGTGCTATTTGCTATTGATGATACGTAGTTTGTTGGTGAAGCAATTGGGACTAAGTGACTGAATTTAAATGGCACTAGAAGAAATTTAGTTTCAGAAACATCTAATCTTCTATGTTTTTACTTTTTTTCTCCATTTTCGTTAACGTGTTTATGTTGGAAACAAGGTAGAAGATCATGAAAAGTTCTTAAACTAAGACCTTCGTGAACTAATTTTCTTTATTATTTTTTCCTGTATTCAAGTAAAAGTAAATGTTTGACTAACCCTGAGGGGGTAGCTTGCCTGAGTAAAAGAAATACACGACACTTAATTGTTAATCTACTTTCAGAACTTGCAAACACTTAAGGGACAGGACTGGTTCAGACATCTTTGATTTGACCAGACGAGAATTGGAGCACAGTTGCGGCATAGCCGAAGGTGGCAGACTCTTCAGTCAAATCACCTTAGCAAAAAGCGAATCTGAGGTAAAGTAACCTACAGTGAACATAAGATAAAATAATTGGAAAAATAGAATTTCAAGTTCCTTATATTTCTTGCAGAAGAAAAGTCCTCGAACATCAGAATTGAAGAATATACTAGTGAAAGCTCGTCACAGGGCGGAAGAACAATAGATTTCTTTTTCCAAAAAATACTCTTGAAAAAGTAGAGCAGGAAATTGCAACGAATACATGTCTTGACGGTGTGTGTATAAAGAATGTAATGAAATATTACATTTATTATTAAGCGATACTAATATTACCGATCTCTTCTACGAAATTCTGTGATGATGTAATTTTCGAATCGCGAGCAATATTACGTCCACAGTTACGTATTTGTACTGAAGCATTCGTTTCCACTGCCCGAATGATTCTTGCCGTTAATGTGTGGGCAGCTTGCTACTCGTTTGGCAAGAATCTTTTCTTCACCGGTCTGTGTACAATTAGAACTTTAAATGAGATTTTACGATTTTTCTGTGATTGTATTATTCGAAGGATACATTATGCTTAACAGTTTAGGATCATGTATAATGTTCACAGTGATAGTTTCTTTTTCACTGGTACATTAACTTTCTTCGATACATCAAGAAATAAGTACAATACAAATATAGTGTAGGTGGACTCCACCAGACGAATGTTAAATTATGTTTATGTAAAAGAAAGACTAAATGAAAGATAAGCTTAGTATCTTACATCACAAGCTCGAGTAATTTTCGTTTGTATTCGTGTAAAATTTTTTAGAGGATCCTTAACTTGAAACAGCAACGCATTTACAATGTTAATAATAAGACTTATCTATATATATATATGTACGTGTGTTTCGTATATCACGTAAAAAGAACTAATATATGAAATAAAAATTGAAAAATAACGGAATAATATTTCTCTGTACGGCAGAGACGAATGAACCACGGGGCTTAATATTGATGTCAAGTTTTTATTTCAAGCGATCACATACATTGTAACAGACATAAATAGGTACTCTAGCTGTTTCACTTATTATATCGATAAACTATACATTTTATTCGAATACTCGACTCGAGGTCACGCAACGTGAACACATTGATAATTACGTTTTTATAAAGGTAAATTTGTTTGCCAAGCCCTCGCGTGTTCCGGATAGTGAATTCCTATGGAAACCATTTTACGCAAAATACGGATTTTCAAATTAGCGAACGGATACACTATCCGGTTATCCCCGTTGTTAAAACCGCCAATTGTTACGTTTATTTAAAAAATAAGAAAAAGAAAAGGATAGTCGACTTGAAACGAATTTAACGTGTACGATAACGACGAAAGACTCAACGAACTGTTAATTGTCTAAGTATTGTATAAACGAGGACAACAGGTCTTCAATAAGTGAAATAAAACCGTTTCTCGATCAATCAGGCGTGAAGCAGTCTTATGTAATCATGCACCTCCGATTTTCTGTTGGATCGGTGCATATGAAATGTTTCAATTAATACGTATGAAAAATGTTTAATAAAGTCACAAGGTTCATTGTTGTTTGGATATTTTTTTATATATAGAATAGTAGTATATATTAGAGATTTTAAAAACCAGAGAGAAATATGGGAACACATGCAACGTGAATGAAAAAAAATAAATGCAATAAAACTGCATAATATTGTCCGATTTTCCGGGAGTAAAATAAAACTGTTAACAAAAGAACCAAATTTCATTTTCAAGCTTATTCTTGAAGCTTTGAAAATCTGTGTTTGCATAAATCATCTACAGTGTAAATAAATAAATAAATTATTATGAATCATTGTCACATCTTGTGTTTACTTAACATCAATTTGCCATAAAATATTTCTTTCCCTTGAATAATGTATACGAAATAGTCAAGTATAATGGAACTCGATGTCATTGCTCTACAAAATTCAGATATTTCGTATGCACCAATCCAACAAGTATTAACAGAGTACAGCGATGACGAATCTCGGGAAACGGTGAGTCGTTTTAATAAAGTAATTGCAGTCTAGATATCTATATACTATTACACTAAGATCCGGATTAGTGAAACGGTTTTTTTCATTCTTGGTACTTTCTTCTATCCTCTCTTGTTATTTCTCATTCAAAGTCTGTACTAACTATAGATACCAGTAGAATCTGGGTTAGGGCTTATTATCAAAATCAGACCCCGGTTATTTGGCAATTATTCGAATCAATGTGTGCCTCAAATAACCAAGGAATTGTAACATACAGACTCCTATCGATTATTGTCCCGCTAATTTTACACGATTACTGTCCAAACGTTTTTTTTTTTAGAGGGGGGCTGTCAAGCATATACTTTGTTGCCCCACCACTTTTATTGCCGAGGCTCGGACTTCAGGCAAGAAACAAATTTACGAGGATCTGAAGCATTTCTCTCGATAAGATTATTGAAAGATTATTGAATAATCGAGAAGAGTCTGTAATCCACTATTCCAATGCATTAAAAACTCCAAGAATCGTGACCGTTCTCCCCGGTTTAGCGGCACCTAGCGATCCCTGTTCAGTTGCACTAATCCGTACCTTACCGTAATTATACCCAATAATGAAAAGTCACGCTCCGTTATCTCTATTAACTTATTTCACGTGTAGAAACTCGTAGAAACGTACGCGAAATTACGTTAGAAAAATCTATTTCAAAAACCACCACGGACTCGTCTCTAAATGCGATCGAAAAAGTCTCCCTCATCAGAAGCTGCACCTATCAACGAGGTTTTCGCACGATGAGGTTGTTGATTCTCTGTTACAACTGTTAGAACGGTTTTTGGTCGTTTTATTGAGTAGCTCAGAGAAGGCTTGCACGTTTTAGTCGGAGTATATTTCCGGTTCGCTCTTACACGATTAGTGAGCACGTGACGGATATTTATTATGCGGTTGATTATTATCGTTAATATCGTTACACTTAACGTTATTTTACCATGTTAAAATTGGTTATCGGTTACTTTCGCAGGCGAGTGCGTGCGTTAACGGTACGCGTCTCTATAATCGAGTAAAATAACGTCGAAACGAAGAGTCTGTTATTTCTTCGGAAAGGAAATAAAGGCAGAAAAGAATAATGATCTTAAGCAGCATGGTAAGATTCGGAATGTAGGGTTCTCATAACGACGAATTATAGCTTGATAAGTTAGAAATGATTACTTAAACTTAACTTGTTAAGTTATCATAACTGACTGAAAAATAGATTATAGTATAAATTCTCGTATTTTAGTAATTTCTTAGAAATTATATGACATGGATGTAGAAGATGTTTCAGACAATTTTTTAATACTTTAAATTCATGAATTTCAAAATGGTATAGAACTGATTATATAATTATTTAAGTTTCTGTCTTATCTCACATATTTAAGTGACTTATCGTTTCTTTTATTTAGTCAGTCCAAATTATAGAAAATATAGAAAACAATATGGACGAAGATGATATTTAATTGTCTAAATTTCCAGGGTTTCATAGCGACACGAAAACTATTATTTCCGTGAGGTATCATCTTTCTACTTGAAATAATTCGTATTTCTTCTTTCCTAACTTATCAGCCCATAACAGAATTTTCATGCAATTAAGTTATATGATAATTCAGCGATAATTGTGCGCGTTCTTGCGTATCGTCGCATTAATTTTCCACTTTCAGCACAGCAAAGTAATCTGACGTATTCGTAACTCACTTGTATTTATCTTGCTATATAAACTTGTGCGTAATCCAGTTGCTATTTCCTAAGATCTATCCGCTGATTAGCGGATCCATGCAGTGTGTCGCTGAAACTCCGTTTTGTCGCGACTCAAAGAGTCGAATTTCCAAAGTTTTGACTTTTAGAATACGTTACTGCCGAACATCGAGGATCCCTCGATCGCGCTACTCTAAAAATTCGTTTAACCTCTCTGCCACGGGTACAAACGCGCTGAAAAAGATCTAAAAAAAGTCTCCTCTAGTTGTAATTTTGTTTTTTTTTTTTTTGTTTTCATTCCTTCGGGCGCTTAACGCCTCTCTGCCCGTTACGACAATTGAGCTGTGTGCCGTTTTCTCGCGATGATCTCCACGGGTCAATCGACAGGTTCGAGTTTCACGATCCTCCGACGATTCCCAACAAAACTGTCCAGAAGTGTTTTCTTCGGGGGTCAGTTGCGAACTGAGGATTGCTTTAAGTATTTACACACTCACACACACGGTACAATTAACAGATACATATTTAACTGAAGACATATCTCTATTGTTCACCGGTGAAACGTAACATTTTACAAGTAAAATCGTGTCGTTAACATTGGGACGCGATGGAAAAAACAGAACAATCGTCGTTTAATAAGTAAACTGACTCTTACGATTAACCTTACGGCGTGATCTATGCTAAACGTGATCGATAGTTTATAAAACATATTATGTCCAGGTGAGATACAGGTGCATGCCGGGGAAACCTTGATCAAATGAGAACGAGAAACAGTTTCCGTGTGTAAATGGTTACACCGGTCATGTAACATTTGCATTGATGATCTCTAGACTGTGGATATTTATGCAGATTCAGAATTGTCTGGAACATTTACAAACGATGGGGATTAAACTTGAAGCATATTTAGTTTATTAATGATTCCATAAAGTTTAAGATACAACTTTATCAAATCATCTAGTGATCAGTAATAATCACTAGACTGTGGATTTTCTGTTCTTTTTTTAACGTAAGAAATATCTTCATATATAATTTTTTTCTTTTTGTTAAATGAACTTTGAAATTTCGGATTTGCATAAACATCCGTAGTCCAGTGGTCAGTTAAATGACGTCAGCGTGACGATGAGAATCGGGTGACGCGAAAATATAATCGTACGGGAACGAAAGTCAATAACAATAACCGACTAACAATCGTTTAATGTACAACTTACGATTCGCGATAACATTAATCGTTCTCTTTTTAAATACCTTTGAAGATCCGCGATCTTGCATTACAGATGCTGACTTTCCTTTGTACCATAAATTGTACATGTATACGCAATAAATAATTTGCTCGTAAGCTTGACCTTGGATTACAAGACTAACAAATTTACAACGCATCGTTTCATCGATAAAAACTTTCAGGAAAGAAACGAACAGAACTGTGCTCTGCAATTCTGTAAAGCTTGTACAAACGTGTACAAAGTGTAAGATTGCAAGGGTAAAGATGTTCACCAAGAAGACTCGGTTATTGCACAAATTCGGAGTTTTGCACAGTTGTATGTTAAACATACCAGTAAAAGTAATCGAATGTGGATGTTCATTTTTAAAAAATGTCGATGTGCATTTTAAAAAAAAAAAATACCTCCTCTTTTTTAAATTCCAGTAATGTCTCAACTGTAGAGTACAGTTTGGTATTTCACACAAGAGGGGACTAGTAGCGAGACATTACTATGGTCACAATTTCCACTACCACATTGGACAACTTTTCAACTTCTCTTACCGGTCAAAATATTTGGGAATTTCTATCATTAGGCTGGCGCATATGAATCGTCTTATCTGTGCTCTGAATCCCATACTATTAGAGTGATGCGATAAAAGGTATTATCTATCATTCTAGATTATATCTAACAGAAATGCAATTTCATTGGATATATCTAAAGTTACTGTAGCTGTATCAATAAGTAATTCACTATAATTTTTACAGTGTTTCAATAAAGTTATTAAATCCATAATGGCGTCAGATAAAGGGGAAAAATGAAGAGTACAATGAAGATAGCACAATTATTTCCATAATTTAACACAGAATACTATTAAAAAAACAGTGGAATACATGTTGATGTACCCTATAAAACGGAATATAGTTTCAGACTCTACTAAATGCTCAAAGAAATCACATAGAAAATATTCTCCTACACGAAGCTGTAGTCAAGCTACAAGCTGCTAGGAAGTTAAATGCAAGAGGGACGTTTCATATGCGACAACCTAATATGTGTCTTGCGATCAACCGATTACAGTTCCAGTGTCACTTGTGTATAGACTAAGCAAACCAGAAAATTCTGTACGGTCGATTAAAATCAACGAATTGCACGCACGTCCATTACACGCGCCGGATCTGACTTCCGCGTGGAAGGAACTTCCGTTCCAAGGTCAACGAATGAAGCGTACGATACACACACATACACACACACACACACACACAGACAGACAGACAGACAGAGAGAGAGAGAGAGAGAGAGAGAGAGAGAGAGAGAGAGAGAGAGAGAGAGAGAATAATAAAGCGAGAAGAAATGGAGAACGTAAAGAGAGGCGAACATGAAGTGTACACAACTCTACTGACCGGTGGTGTCCGAATCCTCCTTTAATGGAACAGACCTTGATCGATGGGAGGGAATACACATTACGTGAATTGTGACGAAGCAACGGAAACGACTGAACTTAAGTGTTAATATTTTTTGTTTGGTGACAAAGTAGCGAACCTGAAAGCGAATCTGACGCGATACTCGAACGTGAAACGAGAGATAGTTACGTAGGTGGAGGGGCAGATGACGAGTGTGTGCACGTGAATGATAAGGAGGGTGACGAAGGAGTGGGTGAGATTTCCTTATTTTGTTCGTAATAAAAAATCCCTATATGCAAAGCGGACCTTGACTCTTTTTCTTTCATAAATTACCAAAAACCTCCCGCACTGCGGCCGCCCGGTGGATTGTTCACGCGGATGCAGGCTCTTCTCGCTTCCTCGACGTCCTCTGCAAAGAAACATAAGATATCTGTTCAGTCCTTTTTCAATTATATTCTTCGGGATAAGGTACAACTACTCCGACGCGTACGCAACTGCTGATTCTAGTCTGTAGTAACGTGTGAACAAACGTAATATTGGGTTGTTCGGAAAATTCGTAGTATCTTCAAGGGTAGATTTAAAATCCATATTATTCTGTATCACTCTTTCAAAAATTTCTTTCCATTTTTCAATCAATTTCATTGTACCAGTAATATACAATTTTAATTGTTTTGGTTAAAAAGAACTCTTCAACATACTTCTGGGTGAATTTTCCTTTCGACGTTTGTCTGTGATATGAAATTATCCAGTCGAAGTAGTTGATTTACTTCTCTAAAGTTACCTATCTTAGCCCTAGTGTTTCATTTCTCCATATCAAACTGCTTCTCAAGTGTACAATTAACTTAGATACAAACTATCTACTAATCAAGTGTTAACAAAGAAGACTGTTCAGCGTCAACTTAACCACCTACAATACATTGGTGTGTCCACATCGACATTTTAAGACGATAGTATTTTTTTTTTCTAGAGCCAGGTTCGTTTCTTGACAGCACTAGTCGTCCAAGCAACCACTTAGCTACCCACCGCTGATGGAGAAAGTGGAATCCTGCAAATTTCTCTGTCCTTCCATTCGTGGGCCTTTCGAGGATGGCGTAACCACAGCGGACTCCGGTAAGGTCGGCACGCAATCGGGTATGATTGTTTTCGGTTTCGGGCTCTCGTGAATGTCGTTTTGTTGAGGGGCCTTGGCGAAGGCTGCTGCCGCCGCAGCTCTAGCCTCTTTCAAGGCGTTCAGGATGGCGTCCTCCTCGGCGTACTGCTTTGCCTCGACCTCGCTCCTCGCCACACCGCGCGGTCTCTGAACAAACAGAGCAAACAGTTTCACCGTGATTCGTGGATCGTTTCGTTGAATCGATACGTTTGAAGTTTTATTTAACAAAGTTTCACTTTGCGTATTTCTTGAACCAATAGGAACCAACATGTGTATCGAAAGCAAGAGGATCCTGTGAAAAGTCTTACAGGGAATGTTGAATCGAACTAGTTGCAGCGATTTCTATATATCTATGGAAACCTGTTGTTACGGCGAATCGGTACCATTTTCACTTTTTCTACCAGGTGAGATCCAAAGATGGAGATTTAAGTGTTTTGCAGCGAGTGCGCTCGCTAGATTAATTCTGTTGCTAATGTCAGAAGAAAGTTGCCAGTGTAACTGTAATCTGCATTATATGAATAGTAATATCAGCAAAATAGGACTTTCCTTCAATTTATGCAACTGAAACTACGATTCATGTTTAGTAAATTCAATATGGAATATTCATACTTCTTCACTACGAGATTGACTTGATTGTAGCTCTTAATAGACAGACCATTTCCATTATTCTCTTAGATAAATTCTAAACTGAAATTTTGTTTAATATTCTAGTTGTTCCTTATTTAATTTTTAAAGCAGATATAACGTACCTTCTCCCTGTCTTCTATCATGTCATATACACAACTAGCGTGGGTCGGTGTCTCGATGAAATTTCCGAACCCGTGGACAACCTTCACTTCGCACTCGTCCACGCAGACACGACCCTTCACTACCACGTACTCCGGTACTCCATGGACCTCCATACCCTGGAACAGATTCATCCCCGATTCTTCTTTAATTCTAGCCAAACGATGCATGGGTTAGGTCTTTAAAGCACTAGCTAATATCTGCTAAAGGGCAGTGCACACTGAAGTCGTAATAACCAATAATAATTGCAATTAGAAAGTTGTTTTAACTATGATTATTAGAAATGGACTTATTCCACTTTCGAAATAAATATTTTTCCAATAACATTATACAGCTAAAATTCTTTGATTACTTTATCAAGAAACCGTGCTCCGTTGAATGTATGATTATAAATATAAAAAGAGGATATCTATATCTTCCTAAAATTACCATTAACTCATTGTTTTCCAAAACTGGACTTATACCACTTTAAAAAAAAAAAAAACGGCTCATATAAATTACGCCTTAAAGGGATCGTTTTAGACACCTTTCCCCTACATAAGCTTAATTGACCAACCAGGAAAGTGGACAAGAAAATAAAGGCCAACCCCTGACGGTGGGTATCGAATCAACCCTGCTAGATGATTGAATTTCCTGTGCTCGCGGTGTGGGTCGGCAGACGATCAGCGAAAAGCGAATTCTGCGACGGTCGACGAACAAAGGACTTTATTAAAGCATAATGTATACGTATCGGGGGCTCACCTCGAAGATGTTGAAGTCAACGGCCTGCACGTGGGTCTCGGCGGAAATCGTACGCTTCCTGTTGGGGTCCCATACGACTATATCAGCGTCTGAGCCGACTGCTATCACCCCCTTCCGCGGGTACAAGTTGAAAATCCTCGCGGCGTTCGTGCTCGTCACCGCGACGAACCTGGTCGGGTCCATTATCTCAGCATGAACGCCTTTCTCCCAAACGATCGCCATCCTATCTTCGACGCCATTTACGCCGTTCGGGATCTTGGTGAAGTCGTCCTTACCGAGTGCCTTCTGTTCGGCGTTGAACGTGCAGTTGTCGCTACCGGTCACCTGGAGGCTATCTCTAACGGAACAAAACGCCCGAGGTCATTCGTCCGCTAATCCCGACTTTAACCCTAGAACGACACTATGGGACCCACGTTAGCGGTAACCAAAGATTGTGACCCTTCTACGACGTCCTGTCATTTTCTAGGTATAGTACTCGCCAAGATATAACGCTGCCGTGAAATCGGTCAAGCGGAATGGAACACACCGTTCGAGCGTCTGAATATCCATTTGGAAGATCAAAGGGGAGATAAGGTACTACGTTCAATGCTGTACAATGTCAGTTTAATGCTGTACAATGCCAGTTTAGATCCAAAATACTTATTTTTTTCTATTGTCGACGACAGCTTACGAAATGATAAACCACTAATTGCATTTGTCTATAGCCTATTTGGTCGCTTTAGTGTGACAATATATGGAACATTTCTTATGGCAGTGCGAAGCTTGTTTAACAGTATTTATTAATTTCAAAGGTATTAACCCTTTGCGCACCGAGACTCTTTCATTCTGAATGACTAGTGACTAAGATTGAGTAAGAACTGAATAATTTCTGTTTTCCCAATGAAGATTTGTAAGTGGTTGTATTTGAAATTTTATTCGTTAGTTTAGTTTGTATTGAACCAATAAGACATTGATTGCACGGTGATTTATGTTGTAGCAGCGCCAATGGAGTGCAAAGGGTTAATAAAAATTAAAAAAAAAAAATAAAAGTTGGACATTCAAATCTTCGAAGGCTCGATACATTCTGGGACTGATACATAGTGCCGTTCTGGGGTCAAATTATCTAGCATCAAGACCTTTGGACAGCAAAGGATTTCCCGAAACGGCTAACCAAATTACCCCAGTATCTTCAAACATAACACAACGAAAAATCATTGCAAAAAAGTAAGTACAACTGTGTGTCATCATAGACAAAAGCAAATTATCATAAGTTTAAAAAATTTCGGTCAATTTGCACCTGGTCCGGTACCAAAACTACCACATCCCTGGGGTAACATAATCACCTACGCCCAATAATCGCAAACGGTAACTATTTTCGCGGGGGCGTGAGAATAAGAAAAAAAAAAAAAGAAGGAAAAATCGATGGAAAGTAAAAGGTTACCTTGACATCTGACAAGCTAAATCGATCCCGTTATCAAAAGTACCCACGCGATCGAGCGAAATCTCGCGGACCATAACGCGCCCGCCCGGGACCATTCTCGCGAATCAGCTTTGAACGACTTTTTCCTCCGGCTCCACAGGCTTAATTAAGTTTAATGCCGCGTGTGGTGAGATAAAAGCGACTTCCCACGCGATGTCTATTAGAATTACGTTCAGTTACGCTAACATCGTGTGTGCCAATTTGTTGCCGTAATTTATTGCCGCCATTTGAATACTCGCGGCGACGCGAACGCATGCCCTCGTTACGCAACCCCGCCGCCGTGACTTTATGGTATCCCGGCCAGTTTCGATCGCCAAAATCTCCAAATGATCGAATTGGAAGTACACGAGAGCCTGATATAAACAGTTAAATTGAATGAATTTTTGTTTGAGAATTCATTGTGAACAAAGTATTAAGCTAATTTCTTGGAAACTTTGTAAATACTTTATTATACAATTAAACTGAATATAACAATTTTTATTTTCACGACAGGTTCATAACTATTATAGTTATAAGGACAAATGTGCAGCCAGTGAGCAAAAAAGGTGTTCCACACTGGGGTATGTAACTAAAAGAATATTCAACCAACTGATCCAGCCTTGCATATACATAAGTCCTTATAATTATAATATTCATGGATTTATCGTGAAAATAAAAATTTTTGTATTCAGTTTAGTTGTACAATAAAGTATTCTCAAAGTTTCAAGGAGATTGGTTCAACAATTTCTTCACGAGAAATTCCCAAGTAGGTTCCCCTTAAGGCCCCTTAAGGCCCCTTATCCTTTAATAGCTGGAAAAAGGTGGTACTTGGGAATTTTTGTTTTAAAGAAAGCTAGTCTAGGTTCGTTATCGACACAACGGAAATTAAATTTGAAAGTTTTTTACTGAAACGTAAAAAGAAGTGTAGTATTCCCTTTCTATAAGCGCACTGCGTGGATCTTATAATAGCAATGCTATCCCCGGAGTATTATGAAGTCAGTAAATAGACTTTGTGAACAGTGAGAGAGAGAGAGAGAGAGAGAGAGAGAGAGAGAGAGAGAGAGAGAGAGAGAGAGAGAGAAGTGACTGCATCGTCAGGTATCGTTATAGAAGGACAGTGACCGTGTCGTCAGTCATCGTCAGCGAGAAAAACAGTGAACACGTAATAGACTGCGGGTGTTTATGCAAACACTCGTGTTCACAGTGTACTTAACAAACACCTGATTGACCTTATTCCGCCCCCAGGTCGTTTCTGACCCAGTAGCGTTGGCATGTCTTCGAGTGCATTTCGAAATTTCCATCAAAGGTAACACAGTCATTACCAGAATCTGTCTATATCATTCTTCGATTTCGTAGGAGCGCCGAGGAAACGTATTAATTAGGTCTACTGAAATATTCTGTCCGATAATGTCATCTCATTATCACGTGTTTATTTCAAATATACAGAGTGAACCTCGAATCATGATCCATAGAGATGTCTTTAGTCTCTGTCATTAGCAGTCCTATCGAAAATGTTATCAGGTATAGCATGGTTTCAAGAGAGCTTTAACGTGATTATAGCAAATTTTTTGTCAAATCTTTTTTTTTTCATGATTTTGAAAAATGTGTTGAATATGTATTATTATTTTTTTAATTAAAAAACGAACAGAACATTCCGGTAGACCTAATATTAAGGATGACAGTCCAATAAAGAACGTCCTGTTATCTAGTAAAAGAATAATAACGATCGTTTCTCTCTGTAATAACACAGTGAGTCCTGAGCAGCTAGACTATAAATAGGGAAATACTGCACTTCTGTATGTCGCATCGTTGACAGTAAGGATGTTCGATTCCGATTCAATTCTTTCTGAAAATTGATTCTTTTGGGTAACACATCACTGCCATGTATAACATATACACTAACCGCCAAACGTATGGGACCAGGTCCATGGGAGTAGCGGAAAAAAAGTGGCTTTTGCCTAACTCTACAAGAAAAAAAAATTGGATTTTGCCACCCCCCCCCCTTCCCAGAGTTACAAAATTTTTGCGTAATATTTAATATTGCAGTATAATTTGAAACAGGACCAACAGATTTATGACTTCAAAAACAAAATAAGTTTGTCTGGCTACGTACAGCCTTTTTCACTGTGGCAGTCGATGTGTTGATATTTTTGCCCCTCCTCCTCTGACTGGTAATCTGGCTACGCCCATGACCAAGTCTGATAATTAAAGAGAAAATAAAATATTCTGCAGAGAGTTAATGAAGGTAACGTGTCAAAGCTGATAGGAAGTGATTTGTATATGTACTGATTGCATAACTTTTATTTTTCCCGTGACAGAATAATGAGTTACCGTTCCATCAATCACGAACTCTGTTCCCATACTCTTGGCCATTAGCGTATGTGTTATGCATGGCAGTGGCGTGTTACCCAAGGGAATCAATCTTCCGAAGAATCGAATCGGAATCGAACATTCCCAGTTGACAGTTCCAGTGGTTCTTCAACCTGTACGAGTAGGCTCGAAACATTAAAAAGCAACAGAGGATCGGAATAAAACGACAAACAGTTACCACACGTAGGTCGTACGCCATTTGGGTAATATGATCGCTAGACTGCGGATTTTTATACAAAATGGAATTTTCTAAAGTACACATAGAAATAAAAATCGAAAATTCGACATCCTGTTAACGATTTAAACAGGCTGAGAATAAAATGAAAAATTTATTAAACTCGATGGAAGGTTTGTCTGTACTTCACATACTTTTATATACTATAAATGCAGAAAGATCCACAGTCTGGTGATCACAGTTCTGAAGTTATGAACTACTTACCCAGCTAGGTGTTTGATTAGGTAAACAGGTGTCGTGGAATCGGGTCTCAACGGCGGGCTAGTAATGTAACGTCTCGCTAATTCGACATCTTTCCCGTACTGTTCGATACCGTCGACACCGAGGGCGCTTGCTAGTGTCTCCCCGAACAGAACGACACCCTGGTCCCGTTTCTCCGACACAACGGCGGCGGCGGACTTGCTCGTCACCGCCGTTACGTATAGCGGGCTATTCACCTAAACGCGCGACATTTTAATCCTCTCAATGCTCTATTCTCCTTTCAGAACGTGTTGGCTACCCCAAGGTCACAGCAATTATTTCCCAATGTGTCATTAGGATGTTTCCTTTATTTCATCGTTTAAATCCTTATTACGTTCACTGATTAACCCTCATCCATCCCTTGTGTCAATTTAACACAGTTTTCTCCTAAGAAATGACGTTTTTCTTTCATGTTTAGATCAATTTAACGGACGTTTCGTGACTTTAAAGAATTTGCAAATTTAACTATTTATAACTTCATTATATTAATTATTATCACTGGGGCAATTTGACACAAAGGGACAAATTTAATTGGGAAAATGAGGGACGGATGAGGGTTAAATATTTAGGTTGTCGTGTAAAATCGGTTCATCGTTCCTTTAAAAGCTAAAATGGAAAAGTTCACCGAGCTATAGTGATTTTTGGTGTGACCCTCTCAGTGGGGGTGCTATGTGATACCATTGAGGGTAAAAGCCGCTAAATGTGTCATTTGCTACTTCTTCAAAAAAAGTCCAAACCGTCCCTGGACGCTGGACTTGCCACCGGAACCCTAAAAGGCGTGAAAAATCCGAATCTCTACTGTTCTTGCAACGTCATTATAGCTCGGGGATGCGCTCCACAAACTGACACTTTGAATACCATGTTGAAAGTGCAAAACCTAGTTGACAGATATACTTTAACGCAAAATACGAACTGAGACTTTAAATCTACGAAAATAATATTTTCTTTTTAAATAATATTAAACTGTTAATGCAGTGGCCTCTATGAAGAACGTTTCAGGGTAACGTTGTCTTTTTAATGAGGTTTAGCATGGTAATAGAGCTTGGAATTCTGAAGCCAATGATATTTGTTTCAGTCACATATAACCGTTAGTTTATGAAATATTTAATGTTCAATGCCGAGGATCCTTCGAACACTCATCGATCATTTACTGTAGTGTAGTAACCATTTTAAGAAGACATATGTATTGTTTGTATAAGGATTAGAATTGATACTGGTTAGGAATTTGAATTACAACTGATTTTAGTTAATATTAAATGTGTGCTCCGAACTATGATATAAAGGAGGAAACAAAGTTCCCAATTGGGGAAGGACTTTGAAAAGCCAAAACGTTCTGCTTCTACTTTCTCGTCCTGCTTTTACCACAGACATTACATCGACCTGTGACCACGGTTGAAAAAATGGTGTACACCTTATCACGAATCACAGTACATAGATCATTTGAGGCAACTCAGTTCTAAAAACTGATATTTTCTATAATAAGCAGTAGCGATTTTAACAAAGATGATTTTAACAGTTAATTTGATTAAGTACGTATGTCCATTCAAATTGAAATAACAGATTATTCGGTAATTGCAATTCTTATGTTCACTCAAATTCTTTTCTCTTTTATCATTTTCTCAGTAAGCAGAGGGTAGCATGTTTCTGGGGCCGGCGCAGCACTCTCTCACCAGGTAAGCTTGTTCAATCAACAAAAATGAGCAACAAGTAATTCATCTTTCACTCCTCACTCGAAACTCCGTACACAAATATTAAATTTGACTGTCTCTAATTTTTCAGAATTACCAATATAATTGAACATCTCAGAAGACACAATGATCGATTCCGTTTCAAATGCTTTTGAACGAATTTTCTTGATACCATTCAACAATACGTATTTCACGTCATCCGATGTGATATGTTCTTCCCAAAAAATGTCACAATTGTGAGAAAATTTTAATTTTCACCATTTTTCTAATCGATCCAGGCATACTTAAAATTTTCACTATTTTTCTATTCGATGGAGTATAATAATGTTTTTTTCATTTCTGGAAGACTCAACAGCCCTCCAAGCATTTTCAACCGTGTTCACGCACAGTGTCTAGCGAATGCACGTTCAACTACGGCTACGTGGGTGCACATCGAAAGAAGAGAGACCGTGCCAACCGTGTACGAACAGGCGAAGCCCGAGACGAAAAAGAAATCTGGGCGAAAGAAATTTAAACTGCGGCTACGAACAGCGTGCATGCACGGGGGAATTTCGACAGAATTTCTAAATATAATTTCCGGCGCATGCAACATCGTGGAACGGCTAATGTTCGCTCGCGTGTATCGGTTCAGTCTGACGTAGATAATCCCTGAATCGCGCTGTTAACATCAATCCGTGACCCGTATCGCGGTGCCCGTAAGTCGAGCTAGATACACACAATTTTACGTTTGATAAACGGTCTCGAACGTTTCTCGATCGATAATGTGAGCAATTGGGCGTTGATCACTTTCGCTGGTCGAACGGACATTCTGTTCGCCAATGTTTCAGCGGATCATCTTCCGAAAAGAACCACCTGTTAACCGAGAAGGACGAGTTCACTCGATAAAACTTGATTTTCGGTTGAACACGATTTTCAGATACAAGGTGTTAATAAAAATGTGGGATACTTCACAGGATCGATTCTACATGCCAAACTGAGACAAAAACGAAGAGTAACGAAATTTCGTTCGTGGCTTCGTTTGGCAGTTATTAATTGTTGAAAGTACGGACGAAATACGCGTGGAATATGTCTGGCTCGACAGGTCATTCTAAACATTTCTTGTTTTTTTAAATGTTCATTATGATTCCAATGATACATAACTTTTTCCATTAAAACCCTCTTATTTCTAATATTTTCTTTAAAAACTCCTCGTTCCAGAAGTTCCCAAACATTCTCAGTAGGATTAAGCTCAGGGTGATTTCCTGACCAATTCAGTAACGAAATATTTCTGTCCTGGAGAAATGTTTTCACTGATTTAGCCGTATGACACGGTGCTCCATTTAATAATAACAAATCTGCTCCAAAAAACTGGTATTAGTTAGATTTTGTTTAATTAATTTTAATATTCAATTAGTAAGCCTCGTCGTTCTTGACTTTCTTCTTAGTTTTGCATGTAGAATATACCCTATGAAAATGTCCCACGTTTTTATGAACACCCAGTATAGTATATCTGCCCCCGTAGCGGAGCCAACGGAGAGCGAGGGGGGTTAATATATATCCAGAAGTCCGTTAAGTTACTCTCCCCGGATGTCAAGGTGACCCGCCCGCCCGAACGAGAATTGTCACGGCTTGTCGTCGACTCACTTGACCAGCATGTTCATGAGGATGCCAGGTGTATCCGGATCTGGCCTGAGCGGTGGGCTCAAAACATGTGCAGCGGCGTGCCTCCAGCATTTGTGCGCATAGTTCGTGCCGTCTGTGCCGATTGCGGCCGCCAATGTCTCGCCGTAGACGCATACACCATGCTTACGCGCGGTCTCCACTGCCTCCGCGGCGCTACGACTCATCACATGCACTACATACAGTGGACAATTCACCTAAGCATGCAGAATTTCGATCGGTACAACGGAAATGATCTGGTGCCCTTAAAAACTGAAGCGCCTTGTCTTCGCGAAACGAAAAACGCGGCGGGAACGTGAATCGTTTTTTTTTTTTTACTTGTACAAGTGACGAGCAAAGTCGACTTCCGCTAGGGAAAAAAGTGACGTAGATGGGTCTCCCAGCACTTACTAAATTTATTTCATGTACAGGAATAAGTGTTAAACCGAATATTAATATGGCATAAATTTCAGTAACTCCCAAAATTAAATGGTAGGAGGCCTTTCGCCAACCTCACATTTTCCCTTAGCGGAAGCCGAGTTTGCTCGTCGGTGTACACCGCGGTTATGCGGACCACTGGACACGGAATATAGCGGGAGCCAAAAAATTTGGACCTGGAAGAAACGTGGATTTTATTTGATCGATGGCCGTTTTGATTCTTTGTAACTCGTGCAAGTATTCGATATACGTAGGAGCTGGTTTATTAGGAAAGTAGGTGTAAGACCAGTTTTGAGAAAATCGATAAGGTGGTTGCTATGATTACAAATATAAATTAATTATAAATAAACGAGGATGAAAATCTAGACTTACACCAGGTTCAAAATAAACGAGTCATATAGAAAATGAGTTTCTATCTGGATTTACTAGCCAATGCATTGAAGTTATAGAGCTACTGAGACTGCGTAATACAGACTCCTCTCGATTATTGTCTTCAGGTCCGCGCCGGGACAATAATCTTATAGGGAGAAATGCTTCAGACCCTCGTAAATTCGTGTTTTGCCCGAGCCTCGGCAATAAAAGCGGAGGGGCAACAAAATATGCGCTTGACAGGTTTCACGACCCCTCCCCCTCCCAGTGGTAGGAATATTGCCTGGACAATAATCGTAAAAAAAAGCCAGACGATAATTGAGAGGAGTCTGTACGAGGTAGCTAGGCTGTCATCTTGTAAAAAATTCTCGGTACTGCGACTCTGGTCCTTTTTTTGTAGGTTCCATTGTTGTTTGTATTTACCTTTTTCAACAAATATGTTGGACGATGAAATAATTCATCCAGATTATTAGATATTCCGTCTCCAGTGGTCCCCTTGACGTACAAAAATAATCGATCACAGATAAACAAACATAAATGAACTCAAAAGTGCACGTATATAGCATACACTACTAATGGAAACATGGCAGAAGCCGTAAAAAGAAGCGTTGCACATCCATTAATGTCTGTTTCTGCAAAGTACTGTAACACAAATGATTCCTTGCAAGCTAACGTTCGAGAAAGTGCGTACAAGCACACTAAGTGAATACGAATTCGACATCTAAAAACAGTACTTTTATTCGTCGATGTGTATATGTGTGTGTGTTTGAGCAATTTTGCTACCGACTTACCTGGCTAGCTATAACACACGCTCTGTTCACAGCTTCAGCCTCCACTTCCTCAGGGCGTGACATTTCGTGACCCTCTGGCCCCGTAACTCCTGCATCGAGTAATCGTTTCGTGTTCTGAAACAATTTCGGATGTACCGATCTAATGATCTATTTCTGAGGAAATTCGTGAGACGGTGAACTAAGTCTATTCGTGCCAGCCAATTAGTGTAAACTACGTTAAAGATTTACAGATGTAAATTTCTTAGAGTATAATAAATTTTTTAGAGTATTCGAACGTCCTGGAAAATACTTATGGTCACAAATAGATTCCTGTGACGAATAACGAAAAAATACTATAAAAGAAAGTGACCAAGGGTGTACAATATATTTTCTTAGGATCAATAGGTATCATTAATAGTCATTTTAATAGAATCATAACAAAAATTGATCTTACCTCGGTAATGATATCACCATTTTCCGCATGAACCATGGCGATCGCCCCGAGAAGCTTGCATACTTTGAACGCTTCGATCAATTCAGGGTCCCTCAACATGAACATGCCCGCGTACGCCATGAACATCTTAAAGCTACTGATGCCATGCGACAACGTTAATGTCGCCATGTCTTGTTTCACCTGTAAATACGCAACAGTGAACTTTAGACCATTTGTTGAATCAATAACGGTTGGGCAATATTCTTCTACTAAAGTACCTATAACATACAGTAAATCGATGAGTGTTCCAAGGCTCCTCGGCACTGAGCATTAAATATTTTATAAACTAATAACCATATACGATTGAAACAAATATAATTGTCTCCAGAATTCCAAGATCTATCACTTTGCTAAACCTCATTAAAAAGTCAGCGTTACACCTGTGGTCCTCTTCTTGCAGTGCCGAGGAGTCTTCGAGCAATCATCGAGGATTTACTGTATTAAGAAAGAAAGGATGCATACAAGGGTCCAAATGGCCTCAGGCCATCGTTGTTTCTGCATCGACAAAGAAATCTTGCAAGCTGTTCACGGTTTGAACTACAGCTTCGTGTAGAAGCAACAAACCTTCTCTACCAATCTAACGTGATACCTATCTCTACCATCACTGTCCGTTATACAGACAAACCGACAAGCGCCAGCAAATAAGGAGCACGTCCATTTTACCATGCATCCGTACGCGGTACTCGCGATTTCCTCATCCGTTTCGTTCGTTATTCCATTCACGATCGTGATTACAGTTACGAGTCGACGGCACCGCAACAGCAGCTATCGTGATGGCCACGAACCCCAGAGCCGATCTCCGATTTGCCAATTTACCGCGGGACACCTATCCGTTTATTCCCATATTTAGCGTACCAGCCCAGCATGTCCTGTCGCTCAATGGACATACTAGGCAGCTACTAGAGGGGGCCTCTGCCCGTCCATCAGGCTCGGATTAAGATTTTTTGTGGCCAAGGGGTATCAGATTTTCGGGGGGCCCCTTGATTGAAAAGCGTGGGGGGGGGGCGATTTTTTCGTAGTACAGCACAACAAAATACATAAATTTTCAAAAATTGAAATTTATTTTAAGCCCTTGATGCTGCAGTCTCCAGAATTACTATATTATCAATAATTCCCCAGAAACAAAAGGAATTCGTGTATTTATCGCAATTGTACATTTACTCTAAGAGTTAAATATTAATACCAGTAGACTAGTATTTGACTTCGACTCAAAGAAAACGAATAATATTTATAAGGCAAAGGGTTAAATACAATTGAACAACATTTAATCATAACGAAATTGAAGGTTCAGAAAGGGGCCTCCCTGGAACATGAGGCCCGGGGCTACAGCGCCCTCTAGACCCCCACCCTCTTGTTTCAACGCTGCCGTCCATCGAAAGTCTAATGATCCATCACCCGGTAGATCGATCCGCAAACCGATCGAGTCACAGGTCTCAGTTTCTCGGTTACGATACACGACTCTAATGACCGCCGATCAGCCAGCAAGGCGCAATTTTCCAGGCAATTTGCACGGAAGATTTCGATCCTCTAATGGGACACACGGTTGTAACGCTGTTTAATGCTCGTGTTCCGTCACCATTTGTGGGAGGACGATGCTAAGCGCGAGGGAATTGTGAATTTTCAGGTCATTCTCGGGGGAGATTGCATCCGGTCTGGATTTTGAGATTAGATCGTTCTACCGAGTAAACTTTCGAGATCTTTAGCACGAATGTGTAGAGAAGAATAGTACTACTGTGATAAAAAAATATCGGGACTGACGCATTTAGCCCGCTTTATTTTTATCTGAAAATCTTCTGTTTTTTTTTCCATAATTAGTAAGGATTGTTCCTATATATTGGTTTATCTATTGGTTTGGAATTTCTTAATTAATTCCTCCGAGAAATCTCAAGGTTCGTCCAGTGAACCTATAACTAGCCCACTTTAATTCTCTCACCGAATTTGAAGATCGTCATCACGGCTACTGTACCTACTTTTTTTCATGTCTAGACTCATAGTCTGCAAAGTCAGAAGATCAACTTGAACCTGGAACAGTTTCTTTAACCGCCAATGGTTTGGAATCGAGTACTAAAGAAATTAATACAGGACACCCCTAAAGTAGACATGTTAGCACAACCCAGGTTTAATTTGTCTTGTGATACTTAACATTGTCCTCTGAAGTGCGAAAGTAGGTTCATGTAACAATCGTCGTTGAACTTAAGCCTAGCAAGAAACAGGTCGTGCCTAGACATGCTTTCTTTTCCAGGAAGGACTCGTGTTACGGTAATTATCTAATTCCGCGTGACTAAATAGAGTGGAGAGCGCGTGTGAAATGCATCGTTGTGGCGCAACTATCTCGCTTTAGACGTCCCTTGGAAAATAACTAACGCCTCTGATCGTGCGTCTACTGGCAATTAATGTTGCACATTTTGTCTTTCGAAACTTATCGATGAAAATAAGGAAATAATATCGACGCAATTCAAAGTATCCCTAATAATCAGTTGTGTACAACTTTGGAGCAGATTGCCAACAAATAATGACAAACGATGTCTAAAAAAAACCATAGCCATCTGTTTCCACATTTGGCTTATTTTTTGCAGGAAACGCCAGCTGAAATGGTAAAGCAAATTGGCAGCAAGTCTTGCCACATAATCTGTGTCAAATTGAGGGCATAAACGGATCAGAGTCTGCGCGAGTTGTTTATAGCAAATTTTGCATCGAACTTGAAGCCATAACTTTATAACAGGCATTGGATAAAATTTGGCTGACTGAGTATAGTAAAAATTGTCGCCACCTCAGCCCAACATCGACAGGGCGACAACTTTTGCGTTGCATTAACACTAGAACTACCAACGATAAACGCATATTTGCTTCGATCGCTGGACAAACGTGGAAAACTTTTGAAAATTTAGAAACTTAGAAGTTGACTAATGTCTTCACTCTCATATCGTAATAAAAGGTGCAAAAGATCGTTGTAAGAGTGCATTGACCAGTCATTTTGACTGGTTTGATATTTCTAGTGTTTATGCTAGTCGATGTGTTCATAGCTCACTTTCGGGCTCCACGAGGTGACGGCGACGTGAAGCGCGTAATCACAGCAGACCTTCTGATCGGCGACCTCTCTGTACCTCTCGTACGCCTCCAGAAGGGACTCGTCTTTCTGGGGAATCACGAAGTCGATAATGGTGGTCGTGCCGCCGGCCACAGCCGCTTTCGTGCCCTGGTAGAAATCGTCGACCGACTTCGCTCCCATCAACTCCAATTCGAAATGGGTGTGCGGATCTATGCCACCGGGCATCACGTACTTTCCACGCGCATCGATGATCCTTGTCCCGCCCGGTATTACCATAATCCGTCCCATTTCCCTAGGAACAGAACAGTTTTCAATTTTACACCGAGAATTATGTTGAGATGATGATAAGTAAATTTTATACATTTACGACATAAACGATTGTCTAAAGTTCAGCATATTAACACTATCACGACCAGTGGCTACTATGGACACTATGGCTCTAGACATAGCTAAAATGTATTTATTTGTCGGTTTTCGAGAGACGCAGACGAGACTTGGTGAATTGTAGTATCATGAAAATCGAACGATAAAGAATGAAAGCATGCTTTAAATAGAATTATCGTTCGTCATTTTATAATATTCTTGTGGTTTTTTGCAGAGGCTCAGATGTGAACTAAATGAACTTACAGGTTATCTGCACCCGAAATATTACTCAATAAACAGATTAGATAATTATACATATTCTCTCCCATTATTAAGCGTAATGATATTCAAACTTTAATCACTTTCACTCACATTTAACCAATTTTCGTACCACCGAATCCACTAAACGTCAAGATTCGATATACATAATTAATCAGTATTCTCCTATCTAGACCCAAAGGTGTACCGACTGAACTTCTAAACAACTATCTCGTATTTTCAATTACAAACAGAAGAGATTGAGATCTTTCCAGCATAAGTATTACAATACAAGCCTATGAATTCAGAAAACAATTGATCGCAGATAAGTTTGTTCACCAGCCACAAGAGCGTTAAGAATGTCTCCGTTAACCTCCTACAGCCATTGCTGGGTCAACTGTGACCAAATTTTCAAGAAAACCAATTCTAAAACAAAGTTCGAAAAATCAGTCGTTCCAAAAAAAGGCTCACACAGAAACATAGAAATATCCGTGAGGGTCTCGACTAACCCAGCCACGTTCTTCCCAGGATTCGAAAGGAAACCAAATCATCGATAACAAATATCGATCGCGCGTCTTCAACGCCCGGTTCGATCGTTAACGCCTCGAGTAAATTATGTGTCTCGAGCGGACGGCCAATATTAGCGGCTGTCAGCCGTCTATTAGCACGTCCCGATTCTTTGACAGATTACGGTGACCGTCAGCGTGTTATCGGTTCGCGCCAGTACGCTCGCCGCTCATTGATAAAACGACTGGCGTGTATCGCGGCTCGGTTGCGTAAAGCGGCGAGCGAACACGCGAGTTGAATGCTCAATGAAACGTTAATCGACTTCGACGTTGAGAATATTAACACGTTCACCAGGGTAGACGAGTTGGACTTGTCCATATTAATCTGTGTCTCTCGATAACACTGTTCAACAAATAACCTTTTTCCTAACTCGTAACTGGACTGCGGATTTTTATGCAAAATAACATATTCTAAAGTAATTTATAACGACAGGCGGTAATGTCAAAATTTATTTTTCCTCTTAAGTATCTTATTGGGTTCAGACTAAAATAGAATAGTCATTGGATCCGATGACAGTTTTATCCTTTATTGTATTACACAGAGTCCTATACGAAAATTTTGGAACTTCTGTTTTAATTTCTGTTCGGACACATTTTTGGGGGATGTTGCTTCGAAAAGGTCCACCTTTCGGTTTCCAGGGAACTTAGTAAAATCGTGCCAAATACTCCCCAATGAACACATGAAAAAGGTTTTTCGGAAAAATTGAAAATTAACTGAGATAACACTAAAACAATAAATGCAACTTAGTGTCGTAGAACGACCCACTCATATTGCGTCTCAAGTCGTGACATACAACGTCTCATGCTACTGAAATAATTTTTTCTAAAACTGTCCCATATCAGTTATTATATGCGTGACTTACCACACAATACGATACAAAACATACTTTATGTGTCGTCACCATAATATTAACATATCTCATTTAATTTTCAATTGCACCGAAAAACCCTTTACATACCCTCATATGTGAGTATTTGGAACGATTCTATCAAGTTTCATAAAAATCGAAGGCTAAACCTTTTCGAAACTGCAGTCCTTTCCATAGCAGACAGTGCATTTATAAACAAATTTCCTTCCGAATTAGCTGTTATTTTTTTTTTAACTGGAATTAAATCTCAGAAACCATTGCATGAAGTTCTTCTAAAACTCAAAACAAAATGTGACCCAGTGATCATCATCCAAGAATCAACAAAACATTCTCATTTGTGGGGCGTTATTCACATTTGTCACGACTGTTCGTGCTTTCGAAAAGTCACCCTGTTGACAGGTCTGTATTTTCATTCCATCAAAACATTCATCATCAGGACGAAATCCTGCGCAAAATGATTGCGTAACATGTTGTGAACAGATCAGGGGAGGAAACGAGCAGAAACGGTCGCCGCCCGAACGCTGAATGAAACCGAAGCAACAGAGTTTCAAACACGCGTGTACACAACTTGTTTTTATTACGATTGCGTAACGCAGCGACGAGCGTGCCGCGGTTACGCGCAATGTGTTTCGTGGGACTCTTACTTGATGATACCGTCCTCGATGTAAACGTCGGTGGCCACGATGCCGTCGTCGTTCACGACCTTTCCATTCTTGATCAGCAGCCTGTTCTGCGAGCTCTGAAAACATAAAACGAACGGTCGATATTATTATTCACACCTGCTTTTTTTCGTCGTTTCGCAAACAGGTGAGCAGCGAGAATTTGCATTCGAGTGTTTGCAGTTATGATTGTAAGTCGTAAATAAGAGAGAGTTGCCTACACTCCCGCTCGTAAGTATTAGAACACTTATGGAATATGCAGTAAATGTTACAAGATATTATGAAATTGCTCGAGGTTTAGGTGAAATGTTGTTTAAGGTATAGTAAATCTCGATGTGATGTATGTGATCTAAAATATATCATTTTTAAGACATTATATTTATATATAATTAATAAGACGAAAACCAAGAATGATGAAATTGCGTTTGAGGCATTGTTTCCGAGGTATTGACTGTTGAAAGTACGGGAAAAATACATACAGGCGTAAAATACGTCTGACTCGTCGGATTATTCTACTTGAGAGGCGCTCTCTTCAATTATTCCACGAGTTGGTTTCATTCATTTCAGTTTTTTTCACTAGGTCATCAACCGATACCGTGTATCAGCTGGGAATCCATTGTCGTAAGTAGTATAATCGTGCCAGACGAATTTCACGCATTATTTCCCCGTATCTTCAACAATTATTAACTAAGAAACGATATTTCGAATGCAATTTTATCATTCGTAATTTATACAATTAGTTGTTTTGCATTATCACATAAGAGAACATCGAAATAAACAAGCATCACTTTAACCGTCACTCTGTGCATAGTAAATTTCCCATAGTCTGTGCACGGGGTCAAGCTGACCCCATATATATTTTCATATATTTTTTAAAGTTTTTCTTTTAAATAGTTATTTTTATTTTATTTTTATTAATTCATAAGAAATATTTTTTTAATAATGTGTGTGTAAAACCTTAGTTGAAGCAATTCTAGTTGCCTGGCATATTTATTTGGTGCAAAACCTTATTACGTCGCATATTACAATGACTGCGATCCATTTGACCCCAATGCACAGCATGAAGGTTAAATAACTAGTGAATAAAAATAAAATATTCTAAAAATATTTCCGCAGTTCCTTAGACCCTACCAGTTAAGGGTTAACACCGCTGTATGTAATTAAAAATGAAACATTACCATCGAGTCAAAGTGACTTGAAACAGTCGTTAAAAAGATTGAAAAAAAAAAAAGAAAAGAAAGAAGCCGCAATTCATTCGACCAATTTCACAAATAATGATCGAGACCTCTTTTGCAATCCAGGAACAGCCCCCCAGGGCGCGTGTATCGTCCTTGATATTCGTTTGCAGCGTGCGTCCCAACATCCGGTGGCGGCCGATTAACGTGCGTGTATCGCTCCACGCTATGGTATACCAATCAGTATACATATAATAGAAGCTACGCTTCACGCACTTCCGCCAATGCTGGATTTAGAGCAGTACCGGAGAAGTCCGCGATGCGCTCTGACTGATAAGCGCGTGGTGGCTAGCGTAAAATGCCCAACGATCCATCTTTCCGTTCGAAAGAATAAGAGGATTTCTCTTCTCTGGCCGTTCTGTATTTCCTTTCCACGGAAAAACCGGGCGTTTTTCACTGACCTAGTCCGTGGGATTAGCATACAATCACCAGTGCTAACTAGGCTCGCCATATACGTATTATTTTCAGACGGCCAGACGGAAACGGTTGCTCAGCTACTGCATTTAAACCCGTCAAGGGAATGCTTATTCTTTTATTCGTTACGAATTTGCTCGAGATTGCCCGACGATAAGATAATTAGACGAATAATCGTCGGTGGAAGCGATACGAGTAAGGATCTTGGGATTGTTCCCTTTTGAGGAACGGAATGGAAGGAAGTAGGTAGCCTCCTGGCCTGTTTAATTATACACCCACTTATTCAGAAGTGGCTATAAGGTATGGACAGACGGCTGTACTAGAATCACTTCGCACTTCGAGTGTCGACGAACGATTAGAACTCCCATATGCACAGGTGGGCACAATTCTGACAGCAGGGATATATTGCTTGCTGCTGATAGTTTGACGCTTTAAAGATTTTTTTAAGGTTTCAGATTGTTCGATGAATATTGCCGAGTTTAGTGCAGATTTATTTAGATGTACACGTGGATCGGTGGGATTCAGAGATGGGCAATCTCATTATCTAGATAAAAAGTTTCGAATAACGAATAAAAGATAAAAGAAAGTATTTCGTTATTTTTAATTGTTTAAACGTGGAAATTTCAATTTTTATAATAACATAATACTTCTTTATGAATGAATCGACATTTGTCGAACAAGTAGTTAATTTCGTTAACTGTTTAAAGCTCAGAACGACACCCTTAGATACTGCTGCTTTTCACTGTGTATTATTCGAATAAATTCTTCCCAACACTGGTTGGATTCTACTAATTTCAATGGTGTTACTTGAAATTTTGATATGGCATTAACGGAAGGGACACCATGTATCTATAGGTCTCCGATTTTAATAAAAGTTTTGGGACAGGTAGTAGGTTTCTTCCTCTTTACAAGTTACCCCTATAGTGACAGATACTCGAAAACTTTTCAGGAGCTAGGAGCACAGAAGGAGCCACCACAAACTGAATAACACAAAAAAAAAAACATGTAAAATCCAGTATTCTCCTGTAACTTCCCCCATCATCACCGAACAAATGTCAGCTTTATGTTTGGTAATCAGAATTACGATGACCAGATCAAAGTACCCGAGGATTCGTGTTTCGATCAGACATTCAACAGGATGCTAAGTGTCGTAGACAAAAGGAACATACAAAACGCGTAAATATCGTCTCAGCGTGGGGCAAATTGAAAAGATCCGAGAGAGAAAAGGGTCCAGACTGCATGGAGGACTTTTGACAACCAACCCCGAGGCGTTCCCCATCCGGGCAGAGGATAAAAGTGGATAGGGGAGAAGATTACGGGAGGGGCCAGAGCAAGAAGGGAGTGAAAAAAAAAAAAGGACAATCCGTTGGTGATGCAGCCACCACCCACGTTTCGCTACCGACTTTACTTCCGCACCCTTTCTGCACGATAATGCAACCCGTGGTGCAACAAACGGCTACAGAGGGGCTGGGGCCTCCACCCCGTGAAATTGCTTCGACCCCCGCGTGAATCTAAACCGCCGTTAACACCGAGGCCCTCGGTGAAATCGATCTAAATCTGCTTTCCCCTTCTGCAATGCTGCGTGGCGTTCGTTAAATCGTATCCACAATCCGACCATATCATGAGACATTCATTGGAATTGCATTTGCGTGGGGTGTCAATTGTCAGGTCAGATGATGTTGTCCTCGATTTATATAGGATTGTAAGGATAGTCGGCGGTGAAGTGAAGAAGTACAGTAAATCCTCGATGAAGGTTCGAAGACTCCCTGGTAGTGAACATTAAATATTTCATAAATTAATGACTCTAAACTCTCTGGGGTCCTCTCCTTGTCAGTTCCGAGGAGCCTTCGAACACTCATGGAGTATTTACTGTAGATCTATCAGGTGTACTTTTTCCATGTAGTGTACTATGGTCTTCAGGGTCATATAAGGGTAGAAATAAATTCTCAGAAATGCATTCTTGTTAATGGAAGTCATATTGAACACGAGATGTAGTCTTATTACTACAACATACTTGTAAATACAATATTACGAAATGTTAAACTTATTTCTTTTATTTCTGCCCTTGTATGACCCTGAAGACCATAGTATACTACATAGTTGAACTCGTCTTAATGCCGGCTTTCATATAGTGTAAAAAAATATGTAAATTCCATTTAAAAAAATTAAGGTCACCTTTGTTTCCAGAAAAATATTAAAAATACAAAAACATTAGATACGCTATCATGTTACTAGTAAAATATACTAAACTTCCTTCTCTTCGGTTTTTTTCCTAATGTTCACCGTTTACGAAAAAAAAACGATGGAATTACCGCGAACACCCTGTAGATTCAAGTCTTAATGTCACCGACTCAACGGCTAAATTGTCCTCCTCGACAAAAAGACAACACGAAATAAAATTACAAAAGTTTAGATTGTTAACAATAATGGTACAAATATCACACCAATGCAAGCTTCTTTATATAGAAACTGTCAACACTGCAAGTACCTTTAGCTTCTACACTCGTGCCCAAGTCCATTAGGAACAAAAAGTGTTCAGAAACTCGAACTGACCACATGACCTTTTACAACCTTCAGGTGAGTATAACGACCTCCCGAGGTTCAGTCACTATTTCTGGATCAACCTTTATGAACGTCCCGGTCGTCTACACCGTTCTATTCGCCGACAGACTCGAAGAAACGCGATGCACACGTCTTTCTTTAAATTTTCCATCTGAAACGAGGGTAACCTTCGGTGACGGCACGACTGTGAGAATCGAATGGGAAACTTCACGTAGGCAGAGACCTTGTCATCCGCGCGGTATAGTTATTAAGCACGGGAGTGTGAACATGTGCGTTTCATGTGTTGGAGATCTCCGGTTGGATATTTTCAGCGGACAGCGGCTTAAAATACTACGTCAGGCTCCGTTAGCCGGCGTGATTTTTGTAAAAAGATATGCTCCCGAGGACTTCAAGCCTGCGGGCTTCAATCCACTTCGTGATACTTTGACGGTCCCTTTGCAAGGAAAAATCGATGTCTCGACAGATTTGAGACTGTCGAACTTGTCTGACGACGTTCCGACCAATTTTTCTGATTCTTTCTAACTTAACCCGTAACTGCTCCTAAGCAAAGGAAAACCTATAATAATAGGTACGTTCATACTGCTAGCCGATCAAATTGACCGGCACGCTTAAATCGTATTTTCTCTATGTGTATTTTCGAGTTAATAATAAATGGTAGTAAAATAAGAGACGCGAGGCTTACTCCCCGATGAGGGGTATAAATTTAGCCCCCGAGTCGGCTTAGACACTCTGTATATAAACACTGAATCTTCGAAATGTTAAGCTTTATTGGACTCCCGCATAAACTCTGTCCCTCCAGGTCTTTTATTACACGAAAACAAGCAGTTTTTTCGTCTCGTAGAATCTGTTACCGACACTGATTAGAAAAC